AATTATGCAAATGAAACATGGCAATATTCTACTCCACGCTTCATTGCCTAAACTCTTGCAGAAGAAGGCTGCAGTATAGATGTAGCCTAGGTGTATGAGTTAAACCCAGCGCTTACAGGTAGTTGGAAGAGGAATGGTGGCCTTGTAGTTTTTGTCCTAACCAGCATGGATGCTATTATACTTATTTGTATGTCTCCCTTACTCTTGTGGATCTCATTAAAAATTTTCTTCAGTGTCTTCTTGTGCTAATTCTGCAGTTTAATTCTTTATTGCAGTTTCCAAGTGACACCTTAGATACTGATCCCTAAGATTTTAAAACAAAACAAAACAAAACACAACTCATCTGTAGCAGAACATTGCTTGGGTTTCTGAATGGGATTAGGAGTAGGCCAATGAGGCTTTGTAGGATGTTAGTTCTAGTAGTCCATAGCCATGTTTTATTGATCATTACGCCCAAGCTATGTCTACACTTACACAATCTCGTACCAGAAATATGCAAATGAGGCTAAGTGTGGAATATCATTGAGCCTCATTTGCATATCTAATGAGCCACCATTTTTGCAGAAGAGGCTCTTGCGCCAGAAGGAATACCTACACTGCCCCTTCTTGCACAAGAAAGCCCCTCTTGTGCAATGCCGCTACCCTGATTATTTTCAGGAATAACGGCATTGCACAAGAGGGGTTTTCTTGAGCAAGAAGTGGCAGCGTAGATGCTCCTTCTGGCGCAAAAGCCTCTTCCACAAAAATGGTGGCTCAGATATGCAAATGAGTTTCAGCAATATTCCATGCTTAGCCTCACTTGCATATTTCTGGCACAAGATCACGCCAGTGTAGACATAGCCCCAGTGTATGTCTACCATTGAAGTGCTACAGTGGCATTGCACTGCTGTAACTCTACCTACACTGGCAAGAGGGATTCATCCATCAGCATGGGCAATCTACCTCCCATAGAAGCAGTAGCTAGGTCAACAGAAGAGTTCTTCTGTTGACCTAGTCCTGCCTACATGAGGATCTAGGTCATCTTAACTAACCTGTTCAGAGTTATGAATTTTTCACATCCTTGACCAAACAGTTAAACCCATATAAATTTCCATGTCATGGGGCAGACTCACCGCCACGGCACCTCCTGCCAGTAGCCCTGGGAATTAGCTTATTAGCCTGCAAGGTGCTTCCCTTGGGCTAGAATCTCCTCATGTCCTAACACCATGCTCTCCATTCCAGACACTGTCACTCCCAGACCACAGCATCCCCTTTAGGACACTGCCCTCTGGCAATGCCCACTCTAGTGTCCCTTTGTCCCCTTCCAGGGGGTGTTTATCAGTCTCTATCATCCTCCCTTCCCAGGGAACCCATAATTTCCCAGTACTCACCTTGCCTCTGACCCACTGGTAGTCTTCAGCTAGCCTCTGCCACAGGTGTAAACTGCAGTCTGCAATGGCCACTCATTATTGGCAAGGGAATGTGGACTTGCTGCCTCTTCCTATCCTGGCTACCCCCCTGCAGACCTCAGGCCCGTCAACTTGGGAGTGAGATCAGGCTAGGGCTCCCCAACTCTAGCCACTTTTTCCCAGCACTGCTGTCTCAGGAAGCTACCCCCAGCTTTGCTGGCTGGCCTCTTGTGCCCTCCTGGAGCCCTTAATTATACAACCCACAGCTGGGCTGTAATTGGCAATATCACCCTCAGCTGTGGGCTTTGCTCTCAGCCCTCTTTCAGGACTGGGTTTTAGCCTTAAATGGCCAGTGAGGGTGCAGTTGTGCCATTACAATCCAGTGTAGACCAGGTTTTGAACTCCATATTTTTAAATCTAATCTCTCACATGACAGGATATATTTGAATTATAAATCATGGCTTGCAAGTGTGGTCACAACCAGAAAGTTTGGATGCTAAATGCATCTTGGATTGTAGAACTCTGCCATCAAAACCAGTGAGTCGACAGCCTCTGCTAAGCACTGACGATTAAAATCAAGAAAACTTCTATTTCTTTCAATTGTCTGTTGAGTAAACGTAGCTACTAGGTAGGGAAAAGGTGGGAGACTACACCGAGCAAAATATTGGGCTAAGGTAGACTGAGGTCAGAAGAATGTATGACTATCCCCATTAACTGAGTCATATGAGAGACCCCAGATCAGCCAATCATTGAGGTAGAGGTACTCATGTTTGATGGCCTTGTCTCCTTCAGCGAATCACTACTACCGGCAGGAATTTGATAAATACCCACAGAACTGTTGGCAATCCAAATGGTAGAACTCTGAACTAGTAATGAAAAATGTTGTCTATAAAACTTAGAAACTTTCTGTGAGCTGAATGAATTGCCTCATGAAGGTAAGCATCCAGCAAGTCAAAAGCAGGGAACTTATGAATGGGATCTATGAAAGATATTATAGAACAGGTGATCATCTTGTTAAAACTCCTGAGACCTAAAATCAACTTCCATTTATCTTTCTTCTTCCATATGAGGAAGTAATGGGGGAGGGAATAGAACACTTTGGCATGACGTTCCAGCAACACTTTTGTCACTCAGTGGAAGCAAAGAGTTTCTCCGTACACAACCAGAGGAGGATACAGAGTTGGTAGCTACTGAAATTGGATTGAATAGCCTTTTTGGTCAATTTCTAAGAGCTACTGGCTAGTCATAATGATAGCTCGGGCATTCGAAAGAAGGAGGAGATTGAAAGACAGGCCATTGCCAAAAAGAGAGGAGAGAAAATTCTTTGAAAATTTTTTAGGATTCTCAACTGTTGTGTTAAAATATCCTTAAAACTGACATGGGTTTCCAGCCCGCTCATTCTGCATTCCAATTCTTACTCTCAGCAGCTTTGTGCAGAACCATCAGCTAATTTGATGGGAGTGTATCTTGTAAACTAGTGGTTTTTAAACATTTTTTCCTCATTATCTAGTTGAAGAAAAGTGTTGATGCCCGTGACCCAGCATTATTTGACTGGAGTGGGGACTCTGGGATGGGTCTGATGATGATAGCTTTGGGGTGTAAAAAGAGGTTCTGGCTTTGGGGAGGTTCAGGGCTGGGGCAAGAGGGGCTTACTTTGAATAGCACGTGATCAGTGGTGCAGCATAGGTGCTAAGTCGGGCTTCCTGCTTCTCCTGGAACCACAGACCATGCTGCACCCCAGAAGCAGCCAGCAGCAGGTTCCCAGCCAATAGGAATGTGGAGTTAGTGCTTGGGGCAGAAGCAACGAACCCTGTGTGCTTTCCCCCCCCCACCTAGGAGCCAAGCCTGCTGCGCAGTCTGTGATGCTGGGACAGCTAGGTAGCCTGCTTAGCACTCCCATTGGTCACCACATTCCTCTGCAGCAATGAGATCCAGTACCTGGCATTCCATAACCCAGTTTCGACCCATAGTTTGAAAAACCACAGTTGTAAACCCTTTGACTAAGGGCTCATCTAGATGATGCAGAACAGTCGGAAGAGGATATGCAAATTGTGGGAATTTGCATATCTTCTTCTGATTGCATTTTCAAAAGCAGAGCTATCGAAAGTGAAAGTAGTTTAGATGCGACTTTTTCGGCGAACCTCCCCCTTTGTCAAAAAGAAACTCTTCCTCAAAAAATGGTTTACGCAGCTTTTTGACAAAGGGGAGGAGGGTTTGCTAAACTACTTTTGCTTTCGAAAGTGCGATCAGAAGATATACAAATTCCCGTAGAATTTGCATATCCTCTTTTGACTGTTTTGCGTAGTCTAGATGAGCTGTGTGTGACCTCAGATTTATACCATTGTTTTATTCAAGTCACTCTCCTGGCAAAGCATCTGCAGGTCAGTCTAATCCTGTGTGTGCCACCAGAATTAAGGGTTAATAGCTTTTGAAATATTTTATTGTACAGCTTGTTTTTTATTATGTTTACTAGGTGAGATCAGAGGATGGCCATTTCATGTGTATCTCAAATATGTTTTTTCCCCTCAGCTCTGAGCAAAATGCATTTTAAGAGTTGGAAAAGTTTAAAAATTGGTAATTTGGTGGGGACTCTATCTCCCAAACCTTTGGACCCACATTTGTATCACTAATTCTACCCAGCTATTGATATGCTTCAGCAAATTTGCAAGGCCATTTGTCTATGGGTACGTCTAGAGTGGCAAGATTTTGCGCAAAAGTGGCTGCTTTTGTGCAAAATCTTGCTGCCTGTCTACACTGGCTGCAAGTATTTGCGCAAGAACACTGACTTTGTACTGTACAAAATCAGTGGTTCTTACACAACTACTCTGACGCTCCCGCTCAGGGATAAGCCCTCTTGCGCAAGTATACTTGCGCAAGAGGGACAGTGTAGACAGCCAAGTCAATTTCTTGCGCAAGAAAGCCTGATGGCTAAAATGGCCATCAGAGCTTTCTTGTGCAAGAGAGCGTCTACACTGGCACGGATGCTTTTGTGCAAAAGCAAATCTTTTGCACAAAGGCACATGCCAGTATAGACGATCTCTTGCGCAAATACTTTTAACGGAAAAACTTTTCCGTTAAAAGCATTTGCGCAAAATCATGCCAGTCTAGATGCAGCCTATGTGTTTCCATGTTGAAGCCCTTTGAAAAATCAGTTCTAAACCAAAAAGCTTCTCAAGCTTGAAGTCACTACTACTCCTTTATAACAACAAAGTGCCTGAGCCCTGGCTACGCTACAGCATTCAATATTGCTTATATCAATAGCAAATTACATGTGAGTATTTGGGAATGATGGATTTTACTTCAGTCCCCCCTCCCTCTCCCCTCCGGTGATGTGTGTTACAGTTTAAGTCTTTCTCCCTTTATGAATGGAAAATGCAATTGAAAGGATTTTTGTATGTTATATCTCCTGGGTAATGGGGATGGAAAAGGACTTTGATATATATTAGGATTGTGTGGGGACTTTACTAGCTGTTTCAATAAGGAATCCCCGTGGAGCTGTCTACTATTATTATATGTTTGTGTATCAGCCAGCCTGCAATCAGTTTTTTGAGAGTGTGTGTAATGAGGGTTTGCTGGTGAGATGATACTCACTGAGGGGGAGGGGAAGAAGGAATGTGTGAGTGCAGAAACCCAGAAGCACACAGGGAATGGAGGAGCAGCCAGCAGCTTTGTGCTGCCTTCTCCTGCTACTCCAGGCCTGGAAATAAGAAACCAACCCCTACCCAGCTGCAGCTACTGGTGGTGCCCCAGGGTTTAGTAACTCACTCTGGGGAGGTGAGTAAGCAGCCCTCCCATTCCCTGTGCTTGTAGGGTCTCGAAGGGTCTGTACAGGGGTTTGTGTGTGGTGCTCAGGCGTTGGGCATGCCTGTCTCAGAGCAGCAAGCTAAGCTTCCTGAGTGACTGACAGCACCAGCAGGTGCAAGGGCTGGTGGGGAGAGGGGAGTT